TGCTTTGCAGATGGAAAATGAAAGCAACAGTGTCAGACAGAGTTGATATATACTCCTTCATCATGGGGGGCAGATCGTGCTGATGTTTGCGCCCTCAAAAGTGATTTCCCTCGGAGATGAATCCCCTATTGTTGTCCGTTTTTCTCACACGTTTCAGCAAAAGTCCTTTCTGGATTGATCTGAAAGACATCAAGGCCATGTGGAGAATTCCCAGGTCGCTCTTAGTCATTTCACTTTGCCCCATCCGCTCCTCTGCCGCCCACGGAGAAGCCGGCCCAAGGCCATCCGCGACATGCAGATCGACCAGCTCCCCGAAACGCCGGACAACAGGCGGGAGGAGGAGCCCATCGAAAAAGGAAGCCCACCAGGAATAGACCTGGAGCTTCGCAGTGACGCCATACTTGATCCCCTGGTGTCAGGTCACCAACATGAGGGCAAGGTGAAAGGTCACAAAACAGGGACTCCCAAGTTCGTTCTCTTCGCTTTTCGGTTCGTTTTCGGTTCTTTTCGCTTCGGTCAGAACCTTCCGCTCACGCGTCGCTTCGGTGCTCGGGTGCCGAGAAGTTGGGTCCCTTCCTGGCCGAGTCCTTTTTGCAGTATCCAAACAGTGATGTGTGACATGGTCATATGATGCAGAATAGCCCCTTATAACTGTTAAGGGGTGTACAATAATTTCACCACCCCTTGAAGGTCCAGGTATGTTACAGAACATGTAATATGTTCCCTTGAACTCCGCGACAAGAGCCACTGCATCAGCGGATCCGATCTTAAGATGACACCACTGCCTAAAATAGGAAGTGACTGGTGTCACAAGTGGGGTGAGGACCAACGACCACCTGGTGTTCAGATCAGTCGAGAATCACGTCTTACTCACCCCCCTTGTGACACCAAAAGGCCGGTGTTCCGATCCCTGGACGCCGATGCCGCAGATCGCGCTCGGCTACGCGACAGGTTCCGAGCGAACTGGTCGGGACGGAATCGGCTCGAACTGGGCCGAAGAAGGACCACTTTCGGCGAGCCCGAACTCGGGTGTCACACCGGGAATTGATTGACATCGCCCACAGGAAGCAGGGTGCCGTGCTGTTTGCCTTCGACGAGGACGGAGAGGACCCGCTGCGGAAGGCGGCTGCAATGGAGGCGCCGGGACGACGGGGCCGGGGCCGTCGAAGAAGGACCCCGGCCGATGCGTCGGACCTGAAGGGCCTGCCATGCGACTGAGGCGCCTGAGTAGGACTGGATGGGATGGGTTCACGAAGCTCACGGAGCCAAGTGACCAGGGCGAAGCCTTTCATCTTCCTCCAAGCCATAGATTCCGCCCTTGGCCATGCATGCTTTCGACCGACCTCTCTGTCTGCAGGAGGGCACCACGCGCACGAATCGGCGCGTCTCAAGGGCAAGCCTCCGGGCGGAGGTCCGGTGTGAGACTCCGGGGGGGCGACTTGGGGACGGGAGCTGAACCATCCATACCCTAGAACCCATTTGATCCCTGTTTTGACCAGAAAAGACCATTTGTGGCTTCTCCAAAGCAGGGGTCAATCAGGTTCTAGGATGTTCTAGGTAGATATGGAACATTTTCACTGCCGATCGGTTGGGATGATTTTCTCACGTTTTGATGGTTAATGTAGGTACATATTCCATAGATGGATGGCCTGGGGAGGTTTGGGGGAGGTTCCCTGAACGGTTCCTTTTTCAGTTGATGATTCCAAAGAAACCATGTTTCTGTGTGGAGCTGTCTGTCTTGAACTCTTTGGGGACCTTGCCAGAAAAACCGGTTTGGAGGATTCGATCGAAGAGAGCCCTTTCAAATAGTAGATGTTTGATCTCCCTCTCTCTCTCTCTCTCTTTTTCTGTTGCATGCAATCCTGATTGAGGGAGTTAGCTGGCTACGGCCAAAACACCTGGTCGAAGAGGTCCGGAACTTCCTGACCTCGTGCTTTCCGTGGTCGAGTCTCGTGACTGGATCCAAACCATGCGGGGGCTGGAGATCCAATCTCTTTGGGCTGGTTTTAAGAACGTGACACTTGCCCAGATCCAGATGCGCCTGGACTCCTCTCCTCCGCATCAGTAAGGTAGGAAGTTCCACCATGTGTGGACTCGTGGACTGCAGTCATGGCAAGATGTGATGATCTGATGGACTTGAGCCATCTTGAGTTAACGCTCCAGGATCTATGGACCACAGAGGTGCATCTAACGACTCCCTGGAAGGACTCCCAACGACCTCGCAGAGCCAGGCCTTTGCCGAAGCCCATCCAGAGCTCTCACAAGGCCTTCCAGGACGGCCCTCGGTGGCCAGCAATCAGCCCACCAACGAACGACACGGCCACCATCACAGCAACGAGCGCTCCGGCCGCCATGGCAGCAACGAGCACTCCGGACGCCATGGCAGCAACGAGCGCTCCGGACACCACAGCAACGAGCGCGGCAGCAACGAGCGCTCCGGACACCATGGCAGCAACGAGCGCTCCGGACACCACAGCAACGAGCGGAGCAATCGGCCCTCGCATGGGAGGCATTCGGTGCACAGCGAGTCTGGCCTGCTTGGAAGCGAATGGCGGAGAGAACAAGGGCGAACGGTGGGGCACAATTAGCAGCATCATTTTCCAAGGTTTGGATTCGAGTCTTTGTCCCAGAAAGGGTCAGCGGCAAGAACAGAAGGGTTCGGACAGAATAAGAATGACCCACATCGTCTTTCATCGTCTCGATTTCTCCGAACGAAAGACTATCCTTCTCAGCCAGGCAATCAGGTACCGGAGGACGTGCGGCCTCCGACCTCCTCCAAAAAGGAGGAACCCAAGAAGGAGCTCCCATTCGCTGGCGGCGCGATGCACGTCCTATGGGGGCCCAGTGCGTATATGATCTTGAGGGCAGGATGGTCCGCAACCAGTCACCTTTCAGTTGGTGTAGGCCTAGGCCTTTCTACAGGCCAGGATGAGATCCGACAGATGTTTGGAAAGCTGGACCTGCTCTAGACTCTAGTCTTTTTCGAAGTCTTATGGGCGATAGTCTTATGTGCTTCACTGTTCAAAGAACATCAGTGTTCAAGCTGACTGACCTTCTTCGTTTTGGATCTCCCTTTTCACTCCCAGCCCTTCACCGGACGGGGCGCCCGAGCGCCACCCCCTCCACGCACTCGAGGAGCCCCCCAAGATGAAGCCGGGCTTTTTTCTGGGCGCCTGGGATGGCTGACGGTGCCCGGGCGGGCACCACAAGTGTGTGCACGTCGGGCAGACCGTTCGAACAGCCGCGGTCAGGCGTCCTAATTTCGTACACGTAGGAGATTTGAAGAGAGGAGGACCGATGGCGAGGGTGGTAGAAAAGAGATTAGACGGACTCCTTTACGTGTCTTGACACCTCTATATAATGATTCAACGCAACCCCGAGCAGTCAGTGAAGCCAATGTTTTTCCCTGTCTCAGGGTTCTTTCAAGATTGTGCTTCCATCCTTGCCATCGAATCTAGCCCTCTGGTCTGGGACCTCTTTCCACGGATTGATTGTGGCCAGTCCTGAACATGCGTTCCCGTTCTTTTTTTTGGGACACCTCAAAAGGTCCACCGTCCGCACGGGAGCTCTGCCGAACGGCCAGAGCTTCTTCTTCGCGCGGCGGTGAAACCCTTTCGAACGGGGCTGTCCCTCAAGGGGGAGCCACCATCTTTTGGATTGCTTGGCTCCTCCTGGGAGGTCCAGGAAATCTAAGTGCCACCCGCGGTGCCCCACTCGTTTTCATTGGCTAAGTAGACTTCGTGGTCGCAGTAATTAGCTTCAGTCCCGAGTGGCTAGACCGAGCTTTGTTGGCTTAGCTCAGGCCCTTTGTGGTGCTGCTGAGTGGTCGGAGCTGCTGAGTGCACCCTTAAGCCTTCCAGGTGGACCTGGTTTTGTAGCATCCTTAAAACACAGTTTTGTTCGAGAAAGGTATTGAATCAAGGGGTGGTTGGAATCCATTCGACACCAGTTTTGATAGGAAAGACCATATCCTGGGTGGTTGGTTAGTAGTCCAAAAATTGGGGTCATTCAGGTTCTAGGTTCTAGGAAGTCCACACCGTGCCATCAGGCGATTCCCTTGATGGAACACCACCCGAACAGAGTAGCAACAATGCCCCCGACTCTCCAAGGGCTTTTTCAGGGCAGGGGAAATTCCAGGTCGATGAGCCCTCAGGTGCCATCCCTTAAGCCATCGCGTTGGCATGTTCAGCGCTTCCTGTGGCTCCACACGCCCCCGTGAACTGTGAGGAGCACCGCGGTGGTCTGTGTGACCACGCACCTTTCCCGGGACGTTCCATGCAGGTGGCGTGTGCGCCAGCGGGTCAGAACTGGGTCCGTCGTGCTTTCCCGAAACGGAATGATTGGACGTAACATGGTGGACAGTTCAGGAGGTCAGCACTCCAGCAATTTCTTCTGCTGGAATCCAGACTTCACATTTGTTTTGAGAGGAAAAATACATCTGTTGGGCGATTGGTGGTCCATGTCCAAACGTAGAGGCCATTCAGGTTCTAGGTCATTCAGCTTCAGGTGCCTCACGAAATCGCACATTCAATGTATCTTTGCTCCAAAGGCTGGTCTTTTTGAGATGTCTTGGTGGCCAAGATCGGCTTCCTGGGGCCCAGCAAAAAGGATGGATATCAGGAGATCTGACCCACACAAGTAGCTGGACTCGCAAGCAGGACCTGGGGATTTGACACGTCAAGCCTCTATGGCACGTGAATCAAGGATGGAGCCTCCAACAGCCGCTCGCTTTTCACTACCGGCCCGCTGGTACTCGCTGGCGACACCTTCTGCCGGGTCCATTTCGTGTTTCAAGACCTCTTGGACCGTCTTAAAACCGCGGCACGGGATCCGAGTCGCCACGGACTGGGCGGGCGGGGCTCGACGGGTTTGGGGGACGTGATGGCAGCGGTCGGAGATAACGCGGCGTCGGAAGGCCCCCTGAACTCAGACGCCCTGCGGCAGGTGGGTTTGGACGCAACTAAGGTGGTTTCTGGATACCGTTGAGGTTGAAGAAGTGGCGGATTCACTCTGGAAGTGATCTCCCCAGGTTTTCGACACAGGCACTTGTGATGTCCAACAAAACAAGCTGCACAACCAGTTGGTTGTTCATTCAAAACGTGAGGACCATCCAATCACTCGGACCATCCAACAGGTCACTCGTTTTCGTCCTTTTCCCAGTCCTTGGAAGATGTGGTCTGAGCCCACTCCAGTCGTTTGTTTGCGTCGGCCTCCGAATCTTCGGTTCAAGGAACACCGTGGATCCCGCGCTTCCGAAACACCGCCCGGTGTGAGGATGTTTGAAGCCAGAGAGACTAGGTTTGACATGGTGATCTTAGATGCAGCACAAAGATGCATCAACTCCGTGCCATTAAATGGGGGCATGGCCATTAGATGTGTGGAAATCTTGTGGAATCCCCCACTGAAGAGGTGAACAGCTGCTTCAGGGCTCTGTCAACGACCCACCTGGATTCCCACCCGGCGGGGGTAGAGGACGGCGCGAAAGGGATCCCGGCGAACCCGCCGCTCGGGGTACCTTGCTGAACACGACAGGGGAGTGGGGTCTGGCGTTCAGACTGGCAGATGGACAGGATGATCAAGCGACTAGGGTTTCATACAAACGGGTGACCTGCCAATGATGAAAAAAGGATAAAAAAGGTAAGGAGTGTGGAGGCGTTGTTCTGAGTTCAACCCTGGCCATAATTGGAGTTGGCCCACTGTGTGCACACTTCGTTTAGCAATTGACCACTCGGATCTCCATACAATGGACTCTAATGATGGGAACCTCCTCCAATGGCTGCATGGCTTGATGCGCAAATGTAGACTCTTGATTGATCAACACCCCATTTGGATTGTAAACCTCTTGATATTAGGTATGCTGTAATGCTGTATGCTCGATTTTCCACACGGGCCTTGTGGGGGAACTCCCCTCGGGCCCAATGGGCTCCACTTCCGGGTGAAGTCCTGACCACAGGAGAAATTACATAGTCCAGCACCCTGGCAGGTCCTGAAAGTCGCAGCGATGCTCGGTTTTGTAATATTTCATACATCTATAAATTTTGAGAACAATTACATTGGAGTTTTCTTTCACATTTTGGTGAAGACCTTTGCCAGTTGTTATTCCAGTTCTCCGTTTGACGTGTAGCACTGCTCGACACGAGGGATCACCTCCGGACCCGAAAGGGTCCGAACCGGGACCGGAGCCCGGTGCGTTTGGTGCGCCCCATCTCACCAGGTCATGTCGTACCTGAGCAAGATCTCGGCTGCAGCACAGTTGGTCCGGGACCTGACTCATGACGATGTGGGTCCGAATGCTTCGGATGGGTCGTGATGCGTGGTGATTTCTTCTTTGGTGGCTTTTCGGGTGCGATTGGCACGGCCACACCATCGGTCAACACCGCCTCAAAGGCCGTGGTACCTCGTGGATGCCGAGAAATCGTGCTCTGCAAGTTGTTCCACAGAAAAAGCGGATATATAGGCGGATAGAACAGGTGGATCAACGTTAAGAAGCTCTTCCCTGTATTTTCCAGGGCAACTCAGGGAGTCAGCGACTTTTTTGGGTCGAAGAGATGCATCTGGAGTTTTTTCCTTAGGGCCCGGAGTCCCCGAAGGAAGGTGGCTACACTCAAAGGGTTCAAGCGACATTCAAAGTGTTTGGTGCTTTGATTCCATTGACATGCAACATGATTAGTTAATATTAGTTAAATATATATAACAACACTTTCACAAAAAAAATGCTAGAACAAGTTGTTCTGAGTTGCTTTTTTGCAGGTGAAATGAAAGGTCCGTTTTTCAGCCGAGCTCTCCTCACGTCCAGTACGAGCTTCAGCCCTCCCTCCTTCTCAGGTCCATGAGGACGAGTTCCGGCGGATGCGGGAGCCGGGCCGGAAGAAGATGGACAAGCTGATTGGTAGGCCGGAGAGGGTCCGGTGAGACAGGTTCGCCCGGTTGGATTGGATGGGTCTGCGCGGTTCCCAGACGGATGGGAACCAGGACGGGCAGAAGGACGGAGCTAATGGAGTGACCCCAAACTCTCGAAATCTTTTGCTTTTTCACCCCAATTCCTTTCCTTTCCCCCCAAATGCCCTCCGCCGGTGAGAACCACCCCCCGGTTCTTTCACCGGGCGACTCACCGCTCCTCACCACCGCCCGGTTCTCTCCGCGTCCCGCGGCGACCTCACCGCCCGTACCGCGCCAGGCTGCCGAAGGGGCAAGAATCGCCCTTCGGCGACTTCCCCACCGACTACACCCGCCCGTCCGACGAGGCGAAGCGGTCCGGGCGCCAGCGGACGAGCGAAGCAGCTACGGGAGCGGACGTCGGTCCGGTCCGGGAAGCACCCCAGGGGTGGAACAAGGAAGCTACGGCTATAGCTCCTGGCATGACTACGGCTGTAGCGAATAGCTATTAGTAGCAAGGTACGAGTAAGGTCCGGACGGACGAATCCACTGAAAGCAGCGGAGCGGTGAGAGTCGAGCGGTAGGTAGGGGGAAGGACTGGTTTTAAAGGGGTGGACGGGAAGTGGTGGATGGTGGGGAGATGGAGAGGGGGTTGGGACACGAAACTGCTTGGAAGTCTATGCTTCGTGTTAGATACCTTGGAATCCCTATTCATCCGGTCGTGGGTCTTTAGCTCCAATCCACCCGATATTCCATGGTACACCGACTTAAGGCATATGGGGTGGATCTATCCATCATCTCTTCCCTTAGGTCCAGTCGACCATTCTTTAGATGGTCTTTAGGTGATCCGAAAAGGAATTTCCTTGGCTACTAGCAACAAGGTGCATCGCTACTAGTGACAAGTGCATCGCTAGTAGTAGCTAATTTGCTACCAGTAGCAAGAAGCTTGACTTCGGTGTTGTCAAAAAAAGGTCTTTAGACTTCTGGGGTTCCATGATCAACACCTCGGCGGCTTCCGCGGCGCTCAGGTCCATTGCGCTGCAGGTGATGGGGAGCGCCACCTTTACACCCAGGACACCCAGAACCTTAGAGGCACGGGTGGAGATTCATGGATTTTTGGCAAACATTTTGGATTCATTTTTTGGATTCACTCAATTTGAGCCACTGGCAGAAAGGACCAAAGTCGTAGTGTACTGGAGTTCTGGGCGGGAGAACCTAGGCTAGCTGTTTTGGACTTGGACTCCAATCTCTGATGATTGCCTGATCAATCTGCCAATTTCAATATGTACCTCCACTCGCCCCACGTTTGG